CTCTGCGACACTCCCCTGTTCGCATGCGGATCGGAAATCAGCCGAGCAGAAGTTACAGATGTTTTTTGAACTGAAAGCATTTATTCTTCTGTATTTTTAGGATACTATTCCTTTCCTTCTTTGCATTGCAGCCTTAATTTTGGTACCTCGGCACCTCCTCAGGACGAGAATGCCTGTTTTTCCTTACCTGTACAGCCTCTCACGAGCACTGGTTTTAAATAACAGTTAACAGCTATTAACGTCATTAGCTAAGTGAAATCATCAGCGCCGGCAGGAGGACTTCCCTGCGCCACCGCACCGCTGAAAGCCGGACTCGAACTGCGGCTCAGACCCCGCTTGCTCGCTCACTGGTATCGATCTCTGCCCGTAATTTAATTTAAAACGCCGGCTGATACTGCATGTGCACCGTCGTTCTCTTTGACTTGTGGGAACCTACGCTAATGCTTTCTTGGGGTTTGTACACAGGGATACGCGGGGGTGCCCTCACTCGGCCTTCTCCACTCCGCTTTGTCCAGGGTAAGTACACCAAAACCCGTCCCATTTCCCGTATCTTTTCCAAAATAGGAATTTCCAGAAAGAACTATTCTATATATATGATTTTTTTTTTCTGTTCCAAATCCTAGCCCCTTATCTTCTGTTGGGATGGCACTCCATTACAAATACTTATCTCGCAGCAGGTAAAAACGTGAGCGATGAAATCTCTCCAGGACGTGCTTTCGTGGGGGATATTTCAAATCGAATCTCGGGTTTTTTTTTAAAGCAACAACAAAATGCCAATAAATAAATTGTAAAACCTGGCAGAGAGAAATGACGTACGGAGGCCTGGCTTCCCACTGCTTAGCTTTCAAATGCAAAGCAAATCTAATGTATTACTGTTCCAGTTCATAGTGGTTTACTCCATTTGGCGCGCTAGTTTAAATAGCAGCCTGCACCGCAGGGTCGCAAGAGGCTGGCGGCACTTTTTGGGGTGCGTAGACTTGGGCAGCATTTATCACAGCAATACAAACCCAGCCCCTGACGTAACCTCTGCCTTTGAGCAGCATTGCATGAAATAGGTGAGCGCAGGCTTGCTCTTTTACAGGTAGCCTCTAGTCCTCGATAGCGCGGCTGCACGATGACCGGGTCCACAGACGCCAGCAGCGGGGCAGAAACGCTTGGCGCGGCGAGCTGCGCGCTCCCAGAGCTCGGGGGAGCCTCGGGAAGCCCCCGGGCTCATCCCCTGGGGGTAGACAAATGCGGGGTTTTGGTAGGATTTGGGGTTTTTTTTTTGGAAGTCTCGAAGTGTTTTTCTAGAGTTGATCTGACACCAGCGTGAACCGTGCTTGCCGTGAATTCTGAACTAAACGATCTGTTCGTGTGTTTGGGATTTTGCGGATCAGTAACGCGCTTAAACCGCTGGGTCAATGGTATTTTTTTGGGGGAATCCTGAAACGTGAACGTTGAGTTGCTCAGTTAGTACTGGTAACGACAGCAGAGAGAGGGAGGGGACCGAGGGCTGTGTTAAGGGCGTGGATCCGTTTTGACTTGGATGAGGAGGTCCTGGGTTGTGCGAGCAAAAGCTTCAACAGCCATCGGCTTCCTCAACTTACCCGTTGGACGTCGGCACCCGATGACGTTACCTTCACGGAGGACACAGCAGGCAAACTATGGCCAGGGAATCGGATTTGCGGTCTTAACTGCGAATTCTCTTGGCTTTTATGCATTTAAATCAACCTCAACGTTGTTGGTTGCTATTTAATTCGATAGCGGTGCCCGTGGCCCCATTTAAGACTGGGCATCCCATCGTGGCATCTTACAAATACATAGGAAGACATAGTCCCTGCCCCGAAGAGAACATCACAGGAACTTTTTTTTCTGGTGATTTAATCATAATATTGACAATTTTATCAAAAATTACAAAACTGATATTAAAAAAATCTCTAATTCTTAGTAAGACTAGAATGGGTTTTTTTTTAAAAAATAGAAAAGCACTTTTATGCTACTGCTCTTCTGGAATTCTCACATTACAACCCTACGTAGCAAAATACAAACTGTAGCTAAGAAAGGTAGCAGTCCTAAGGTAATTCAGTCCACCGCGAGCCCTCTAATATCTCTATACCGTCAAACTCAGGGACTCCAACAGGATATCACATTACTTATCAACCTTCTGCAAAGCTGATTTAGGAAATACCTTTAAATTTGAAGTTCTTTTTAACCCCTAAAACCTTAAGACTCTGAGGATAATAGACCTGGGACATCAGAGGTGGGTTTCTTTTTTTATTTTTTTTTTTTTTTTTAAACTATGTGGGTATTATTTTTGCAGCTGATACCAGCCAAACGTTTTCTGTCAGAAGTGAAAATATGAAGAAAATCCATTGAAATAAACGAAAATATTTTTTTTTTTTTTTATGGTGTTCACAAAATGCACCATAATAGAAAGAGGAATATTTCCTTTAATTTGAATGTCATCTGAATGACTCAACCACATTGTCACCCACTTCGCAAAAGAAAGCATAATAAATAAATAAATAAATAGACAAGAATATGCAACACTTTACATCCTCAAAGAATCACGTAGTTCCCTAATCTACGGAGATACGGATTGACGTCGTGGGCTCGCTTTACTCAGCCAGTTCAGTTTCGTGTGATTGTGCCATATTAATGACAAATAAAGTGTTGTTCCACTTTCCACAATGGAGTATTTTTTTTTTTTTCCACCTTTTAAATATAGGAATTCTCTCTTAAATTAGAAAGTAGGCAAAAAGTATCTTTTAAATTTTCATTTTTAAGTCTTCTATTAGAAAAAATATAGATTTATTAAACAAAAAATAATAAGGTAGAAAGAAGGGTTGGGCCTCCATCAAAAAAGTATATTATGCTTTAATGCAAAGAGAAAGAAATGGCTCTATGGGCAAAATTCAAGTATGAGTGACCAGTTTTTTAATCGTAAAGTAGGTGCAACATTTTTTAAAATGTTACAACACTGCATGACCTGTAATGCTCACAATATTTACATTAACTGCTTACATGAAACCATAAAAACTCTAAAAGAGAAAAAAATTGGTATGGACTGAAACAAACTACTCCTAGCACCCACATCAATGCCATTATTAACCAATGAAATCAAGTGCACAAAAATACTTTACATAGTCTACCGATGTAAAGTATACACTGGTGAGAAAGTACAAACCTAGTTAGTTAAAATGCCAAAAGAAGGGTCGGTCAATACAAACTCGGTCCTAGGACAGAAAGCAAAGGGAGAAAGAAACTAAATCGAGACAGGCGCTCGCACACGCACACGCACACACGCACGCAGTGATGAATTAAAACCCACGCGGGCACGGACAGACGGCAGGGAAGCGGGCCGGCGGGGAAAATGGACAACATCGACTCTTGAAACGAACACATCAACTCCAACAGAAAAATGTGAGCTAAACTACCCCCCGCCCCCCCCACCCCCAAAATAAAATAATAAAAAAAATTTAATAAAATCAATCACTTCACATGAGCTTGCGTGGAGGACGGTGGCGTTACAGAAAAGACAAATGAACCTACCCCGCGGAAGGAAGGGCTCCTGCCTCCAGTGCCCTGTAGCCAGTGTAGCTATTGCGATCCCTCGGGCTGGGGGGAAGGAGGAGTGAGAGCCGTTTTGCCAGACATGAGAAAGCCCAGGGGCGAGCCCGGAGGTAGTGCTGCCTGCTCTGGCACGCGAGAGCCGAGGCCGGGAAAGCCGCCGGGTCCCGTCGTCCTCGGGGACGGCTGGTCTCGGTCATGTCCTTCAGAGAGAGGAGTTTGGGACGTGGGCAGGGCGGATGGGAAGAGGAGCAAATGACTTGTGATCCTGGCGCCGAGTGCCCGGGTATCTGGGGAGCGGCGATACCGCCAGCCTCCCAGGGTGCTGATCACTGCCAGTCCTTAGCCAGAGAGTGAGATTCGGGAATTCGGGGCGGGGGGGGAAAGGAAATCTGAGGTAAGAGGTGGTCCCGGATGAAGAGGTAAGGGTTACGGACTCCACCCCGGGACCGGGCATGGTGAACTGAGAGTTATTTCGGGAAGCCTTGAAGTCAGAGAGGATGTCACGGCTTCCATCACCATCACCACCATCCGTGTCAAAAAGAAAAATGAAATAAAATGGAAATAATGTTGTGCTACACTTCCGTTCGTTAATTTTATAATGGCTCATAGCTTTAGACTTTTAAATCTGTAGTGTATTAATTTTTTCTACATATGTTTCACATTTCTCACTTAATATAACATAAATAATTTGGTTAATAGATTTAACCTGCACATTTCAGCCACATTAATATATATAAGAATCTGTTAATGGTATAAATAATTCTTTTTAAATAAAATAAATCTGATATGTTACATAATACTGATAAAAATTACTGTTGCTAATAGTTTTGTAAGCCACCCTTAATTTGTTGTTTTAATACTGCGAGATGGATACTGGAATTACTTTTACGAACGCTGCGGAGCATGCCCTTTCATTCTACTGCAAAACCAAACCGTAACCAATGCCGATCACATTATTAAAGCAGGGCCTCTGCCCCCTTCAAAGAAAACACGACGGTTAATGACGTTAGATAATTTAAGCTAATAAATCTAGGGGTTTTGAGGGGTCAACGTTACGGGGGATATAAACTGTTTAGTTTATCAGGTGGCTATGAAACTTTAACTACAGAAATGGTTGACTAAAATAGCCCATCTACTTTTTTTCTTTTTAATAAAATCTACAGCTTTCTACTTTAAAAGTTAAGTAAATAAAAACGCAACCGATAGTTGCAGCCTTTGAATTATTAATTAGAGCTGTGATCCCACATCCCGTTAGGAATCTGCAAGGTTGCACTCTCCTACAGAGACCTGAAATGGAGTACAGTACTTCCAGGCAAGGTTCATTCCAAACAGACAGTATCAATGAACACTCAGTGGCGTGAAGTGTATGTCATAATTAAGGTATTACATAATCATGCCTTCTCTCTGCTGTTAAATACAAAAACAGCATCTTTTACATTATCATATAAAAGCATTTAGGCTGTATTTTTATTTATCACTTTACACTGGTAGTCTCTTGTATGTGTACTCAATAGAAACCAAAGAATTTTGTACACTATTTTTTGTACAATAAAAGATAAAGTGTGCATTAGGTACGCTTGTACATGACAATATTGTACAATATTTACATTTCAGATATCACCATGAAATTCTGTATTATCTATATACACAATGAAAATTTCTCAGAAACATTTGGACTATTTCTTATAATCACAATTTTAGTATTATAGAAAAAAATTTCAGTAATCATCTGACATTGTTACTGCAACCTTTCAAGATTTCTGATTGGCTTATCCAGCAACCGCTATCCCTCCTAATCATCAAAAATATTGTACCACTAATCCGCGTAGCACCCTGTGATGGTATCTATCTGTCTTCACATAAATATTGATATAACCACGTCTATATCAATACCTACATATAGACTTATGTGCACGCTCATTTTGACAAGTACTGGACCAGTAACAAAGACATTCAATGTTATCTAGAGATCTTCCTCCTCTTGGGTTTTGGAGGCTTCACTTGTCTGTCTCCCTGTGGGATTTGGTGGACCTAAAAATAAGTATATTTAGAAGTTAGCACAGAATATTGGTCAAAGTAACCAGCCAGTAATAAATGAGTCACAGGATTGCTTGAGGTGCTGTTATGAAACGGTTCTTACTATTTCATGTCTATGTGGAAGCCCGAATTAAAAGGAACTTCAAGAACTTTAAGGCACTGGGGAGAAAAAAGGCTGATGCTGGATGCCGCAGCCTGTACATCTCAAGCCTCTCCTAGCCCGGAGAGAGGTACCAGCTCCAGTAACTGTGAAACCGCATCACCGGGAACTGAACCCAAAACTGCAATTATGCCAAATTCTCGGAGACAAACCTTTATACATCGTCGTGACAAGAGCAATAAAGTAGGAAGTAGGTGGTGAGAAAATATTGCTAACAGGGAAAAATCAGAGAAGTCAAATTCAGGTCTGCGGTAGCATTATTAAGGAACAAGCTACATTTAGCCAACTCTGCCTTCATTTAATTTTTAAAAGGAAATATTCAATTTCGAGCTAAATGGTAGATTAATTTGAGCGTGAAACAGTTTTTCATCACTGACTGCTCAGTAAAAAACACAACCTAATTGGAAGAAGAGAGGTAGAGGAAGGCGCTGGTGTCTGGCGTGGAATACCACCACCATCTGTCGGTGGAAGCAAGCTGCTGTTCTGGGAAGAGGAGTCTGCAGCTTCCAAAGAGCAGTCAGGCAACAGTAACAAATCCTTCAGCAACGTGCTAAATTATTTCCCTGGGTCCTTCCTGAATTCCTTCAGACCGCTAACATTTACTACGTATTTACTGGCTCTTACCAGTAGAGATAATTCTTTGAGCTAATTATCTTGTTTGCACATGCTTTTCATTTAAAATGTAACTGATGTCTGAACAGTAGCAGCTGAAAAAAATGCAAGTCACTAAAGAGAGAACCGTTGGTGCCCTGTGAGTGCTAGGAATCACAACCTTCACGGAAATAAATCCCGATCACAAATTTTGTGACCAGATAATTAAAATACAAATCAAGACTATGTAATGACATGCAGGCTGGTAGATCGGCTTGTCTGCATTCCGAAACGACCAGATCAGCAAGTCCAGTTACAGCAGTTTCCCCTGAGCCAGTTTGTATCATAGTTAAATGCACATAGCGTACAGTTTTTAGCACTACTGGATTTATAAATGAAAAAAAGGTACCAGCAATGGCCCAGTGCAAACATTTAAGTGGTGGTGTAACCGACACAGAAGATGCATGTGCCAGACGCATCTCCCATATTTATTTGTAACAGACCGACAATCAGATCCCGCTTTCCTTTTCCTTCCAAAGACAACAGGAAAACACACGTCGTTTTAAATCAAAACTCAATCTCATTTTGTAAAATTCACAAGTTTAAACAGAAGATTTGATTTTGTTATTACTTACAGCAGCCATTAAAAGCTACGGAATGACTGACTTAAAAGTTTCTTGGTGGTTCTGAAACCAGCTCTAAGTCTGCAGGTCTGTATACGTTTCCTTTTAGGTACTCCAGTAGCTCCCCTGAAGTTTTACTACTTCTAAATATGCACGTGAACAAGCACCTTCAGTACTGAGCATCGACTATCAGGAAAAGGACTTTTTTATGTATTCAAACGTTTTATAATTAATTACTTGACTAACTACCAATGACAAGGTATGAGAGGTTAGACGTGCTGTGATACACTCTTCTGCATTTCTAAGTGTGCTTCAATGAAGTTACAGACATGTTCTAAGTATGAAGATGAGTACATTATATAAACCAAATTTTAAATTGGAAAGATACTGGGCTTACATAATTAACAGCGTAAATATTTTAGAAAGAGCACTGTTAGATTTGATATTAGGAATACTCTTACCTTTCATGACAGTATCTTTCATTTCACATAAGGAAAGCTTTACTCAGAGAGTTTTACGTTCAAAAGAACGATGCTTTTAAATGTGGTTTCACTATCTTGCTACTCAAACTGAAAAACAAACGAGCCTGATCTTGTGTCACTAGTCAGAGAAAATGCACGGAATACGAGCAGGGCTGGAACTGATCCAAATATTATCAGGCTGGATGAGTAAAAGTACGTCCAGGAATCTACCTTTGTAAAAAATAATATAATCGGCAACGTAACTAAAGTTCTGCATCTTTTCCCATTTTTCGGAATGATTAAGCACTTGCAAATGTTTTTTAACACCGGAGAAATACAGAAAATTCCACATTATTGAAGAAAATAGAAACAAAATTTATGTTAGAAAGCAACCCAAAGCAACACTCCCAGTCTTTAACTGACACACGTGCAGAAACATAGAAAAAGGAGAAGATTATTGCTAACGTGAAAAGAAACTTACATTCCCAGACATTTTGTCTAGTTCACTCATGGCCTCGTGTATAGCAGCTTCTAAATGGTTATTTAGCTTTCCACTTCTAGGAAGAAAAAAATAATGCCATCAGTAATTCTTAGTAGCAGATAAAAGCTTTTAAGAAATTCATAATAAACACATTAACTCATTGCATATATTCTACTAGCTGTAGAGCCTCCCAGGTTGTTATAGCACAAACAGCAAGGTCAGGCCTATATACAATATTATGCAAGTTAAAGGCTTGCGTTATAATTACAGCAGAACAATTAAAGCCAGCGCTTCAGCGAGTTGTACGGTTAGTTACAATATCCACAAGACAGTTTACCTCCATGAATAAAACGCAAAGGTACTTCACGGTAACACAGCATTTTGTGCAATCTTTTTTTCAAATCATTAGCAAAGGGCCAGACTCTCAAGGGTTTTGATCAGGAGCAGAAGGGGAGTACTCCAGCTACTCTGGCCTCTCCTAAAGACTTCAAGTGTTAAGCCTCTAGTGCCAGCTCGCCTCTGCCTGCTTCCCACTCCATGTAGCGTGCTGCATTTACCTTGTAGATGCGGATACATTTCAGCAATACTTTTGTGAAGGACTAAATAACGTGCACTGCCGTCTTCTTGAAAAATCAGTGCATGAGCTGCCCAATTTTCCTCTTGCCCAAAGCACAAAGCTCGAAGTTAAATATCCCTTCCAACTTTAAAAGAGCCAGAGGAAAATAAGTTGTATTAGTCCGCTAAAACGCTGCTAGTTTTACCCCGGAATGACAGCACACCAAGGGCTACGGTAAAGGCAGGGTGAAGACTTTCTTCTTCCAAATCAGAAGTTACCCCAAGTCATCGGGCAGCTCCATACGCATCTGATTTTACAGCGACATTTTTGATCTGTGTATATTTCTTTTTTTAAAGAAGTTTCCCACTTGAACACTGTGCTCTGCATGACAGGTCATACTTCTGTGGCTCCGTGTTCACACCTCAGAGCTTCAAGCTAGCAAACTTGAGCAAGTTACTACCGTTTGTCGACAGCTCGGTGAGGATCTGTGCTTAAAAGCAGGTGCATATTTATATACAGGTAGACGGGCTGGTTCATTCATGACTTTAACTGAATAGGTACATTTAGAAGAGTGATGAACATGAAGACAAATGGCTGAATATGAGATGAGAGAGAGATCATCCTGGAGATGAGAGGCAGCGTTATGGGCATCCATCACAATATTCTCAGGAATAAGAGTAAGAAAGTACTGTTATCCCTGCTTTGGAGATGCAGAAACGAGGGGAGGAGGAAGAAAGCCATCTGCATCGTGAGGGACGATAACGGCAGAGACAGGTAAGAGAACAGCTCGCCCCAAGCTCGCATGGATGGTTGGGTCACTAGGACTGTCCTTCACAAGAGACGCTTTCTAAGAAACCCTTCCCTTTTAAAAAAGAAAGATCATCATGTCAGCTGGGACATTCTTCCCTGGGACTTAAAAGATTGATAGCAACTAAAAGCATTGGCAAGACTGACAAGGAAGTAGCACAGACAAACTATTCAACCAGCTTTGTTCTACAGTAATTCCATCCCCCTAGTTCAGCAAAACGATTTTCATAACCATCAGTACAGCTGGGAGATCGAAGACAGGAGACCAGAGGGTCTGTTACTCATTATTCAAATAAGATATTCCCTAACACCATTTTGCATTAGTCATCCGAGCGATACCAGGGCATGAATTGCACAAAAACCGAAGAGAGCTAGAAGCCTTACTCACCTGATTGCGCACAAGTGAAGTATAATAGGACTTCATCCACTCACTTACAAAGTCACACAAGTTTAACTAAGGCTTTGAATGAATTAGTTAAAACAGTGCTAAAAGAGTTTTGTGCAACTTTAAAATTATGTATCCTGTTGTAGTTTAAATCAACCGGAGAAATTATAAGATAAACTGAAATAAAGATTCTCGTACAAGGCCTGACATGTCCACCTGGGTTTTGGAACTGCTTGAGCTAGACCGCTTGCAAAACCAAGTTTAAGCTATGCAACTTGGACGCGTGAAGGCACCCGTAGATATTACAAATGACGAACAGAATATTGTTTAGTGGCAGCACAACTTCCTAGAAAGGTAATATGACTCTGTTTATAATGCAGCTATATTAATAACTGATAATATTGCTGACTTCCATGTCATTTAGAAGCAGATTTCAGATGCCAAGTTACCTATATGTGATGTAGTTATTTAATCAACATTAAACTTGATCAGCAACCCACCCTTATTATGCTATCTAATAGCAATTTGACTAATTGCTATTAGTCAAAACAGCCATTCGAAAGTATTTAAAATACAAATGATAATTTGAATTGTAGTCTTAAGACACTGTTGCTCCACTCATTTTACTATGAAGATGATGATCTGCGCTTGAGCAAATCAAAGTTTCAGAAGTGCCCACCACTGAAATATCCATTTACTGCAGACAAAACACTGCAGCTAAACACCTGGGAATTTGACATCAGATAAACGTATGCGTCAGGTCTCCAGTGATCCAAACCATCCTGTAAATATCCCAATTTTTGTCAAACTGCATTTAGAAGACTCTAGCAACAATTTGTTTCTCTCATTAAAAAGCAGCACATCATCTCTTAGAAAACCTCTCATGGCCAACAGCTTTGGAGAAGAATTTAAATTCCTTCTCTCGGGAAGGGAGGATAACCTTTTTGTCAGAAGCGGTTTTTTTAATCCTCCTCCTCCCTACTACGGCCCATTAAAATTTTTCCAAATTGTATCATCAAAATGAAGTCTAAGCATGTTTTGAGTTGAAGTTCCCTCCCACAGTGGACATTTTCCAGACTTCACCTGCAATTGCTGCCTCTGGGTAGCTCCTGCAGCGATAATAGGGACGTCTGAGTGCACCCACCTTGCTTGACTCTAAGAGTATGGGGCAAGCCGCTACTAGACTCACTCCTAGAGAAGACAGAGAGACTTAGACTGTGTCAGGGTGGTGACTGATTGGAGCTGGAAGTTGGAAAGGTGGTGGAAGAGATGGATTAATTCTTCCCTTACTGGAGTCCTGTTTGACTTTGAACACGGCACATGTCTAATAGGAGGGACGTCAGAGACGTAATTGTTCAACTCTAAGAAGCCACCGCTCAAGCTTCATTTCGAAATAACTTAGCATGGATGGTCGAGATGGTAATGGTAGGGATGGTAAATGGCACATTCCTGACAAAAGAGAAGCCTGGTGTGGGAAATATAACACAGAGGAACAGGAAACTACAGGAGAAGGAGACACTGGTATTGGGTGATGACCCTTAGAAGATGCTTTACATGCAGTGGGACAAGAGAACGCTCGTGAACAGAGGAATACAGATAACTGCGAAGCTTGGGAAGAACAAAGATTGGGTCAGACAAGGCTTTGATAAAGGAAGACTGGGCCTCCATCAGATAGTCTTCTGGAGACTACAACCGGATAGAGATAGGTGAGGAAGCTGCTACGTCATGACCTGGAAGCAAGAAGGGACATGGCTCAAATAAGAACGTAACGGCTGAGATGAGATGGAACTGAGAAAGGTCAGGATGGCTCAGCAGTTTGTACTAGAGTGCATCGTCCTGCAAGGCCCAGAATAAATACGATGGTTTAGGAGTCACACCACGCCTCTGAGATATCCCCAAGCAAACCACTTTTTTGCTACAGAAAATGCTTTAGATCATACTATTAGTTGAAGTTACAAAGCTCCGTGCAACAGAGCTAACACATCGGACTACGCTGATGAAATGTGCTACAATGACACTTTCTTCTGGTGTCTTGTTTAGAAACCTAAGAAACTGAATACACAAAACATTTCAATTTTAAAAATTAATACGTAAAGTTGGATTAAGATTTACAATTCACAAATACTGTATTTAAGGTGCAACTTGAATTGCATCCTATTACATCCTATTATAATACAGTTTTTAGCTTTGCAGACATTTTTCATCTTTAATGTAGTTTCAATAATTTTATATTTAACATATAATATCTATATATTACTGGAGATTGAGTCAAGACTGTGCAGCGAAGGAAAAAAATTGGAAAATATACTAGGGCTGAGACAAGAACTGTAGGAACACGAAGAATAATTTATGGAGTCAAGGTACCCGAATGCCATTTTGAGGACCTGGATGCTAACCCCGCTCTGCTAAACACACTGGACCTATGTGATGCTAGTCCATGCTCTCTCAACGTAAATTTATCCTGGGTTTCTTTACCTATGTCTTCTTTACTATGGAAGTGTTCAACTCGATGCCAGTACATGATATGCGTAAGTGCCGAGTACTTATACAGATAGGAAGCAGAAGTAGGAGTATTCCACATGTAGCAATTATATCTAATGCTAAATGTTTTAAAGAATCTGGACCTGTGTGTAACAAGATACTACAGAGACACATACCAGAAAGATGACCATAAGGAGACTAATAACTTTTTCAGATAAATTTACAACAGTACATAGGAAAAAGAGGAAGCGTCCATGAAGAAATACCGAAAGATCTGAACCATGAAATAAGTGCAAGTGGAAATATGGAGAAAACGACTGCAAGGGCTGTAAAGCAACCCTACGAAAGGGGCAACCAGGTGCCCCAGACTGGCTGGGATATTTGATAACCTCGTCTTTCCTTATGGGCAAGCAATGGGGCAGAACCAGACATGCCACAAAAAAAGGCCACTGGATTCAGTGGAATTGCAGACAATCCCTGCGGTCTGCTAAATATACAAATGCAAATCAGAAGATGGGAGTTTTTCTTAAATTGTACTGTTTACTTCAACTTTAACACCTCTTTAAATTTGCTCCCGGTGTCACCTTACTTGAGTCACGTATTTCGCTTCAGGGACATGAGCAAATAACTGGGGAGTTGCCAAAAGCCCTTCTATGTTCTCACCACACACCCTTAAACTCCAGTAAGATATTTTGAGGATGATCTTGGAAAAAACAACCACCAACATTGTCTCACTGGCATAAAAAATGTTTCTCTTAAGCGCCGCATGACATATAAATAGAAGAAAAGCTTACACCTTAAAAGGAGTTGAAGACAAATAATTATTTAATTCCTTTAAGCCTATGTTTATTGTGCTAAAGGCAAGTATCGCCAGCTGACTTTAAATTCTCACACAGATTCAAAGTAATATATTTTCACTGCAACAGTAAATAAGCAACAGCAACCTAGAACAAATCCATTGATAGTACAATTTCTATTTGTCTATCCTTTTATAGCTGTCCAGATTTTTTTTTTTTCTCCTGAAGTCAACCATTTGCCTCTTTTTGTCTACGCTGCTGCTTCGTATCCTAATACTGTTTCACGGTCTTTCTATCCTTGCATATTTGTAAATAAAGGCTAAAAGGCAAAATAAAACCTAACAGTTCATACATGTCTGACACAAAGCTCTGCACTGAGCCCCTTGTCTGGTTAAATACAGCCAGACTTCACAAATTCTGAAATGCTTCTCAGCAATGGGAAATAAACTGAATTTATCTGAATAAACCTGTGCTCTGCCTGCAGCAGCGGCTGCCAGAGGGAGAGGGAAGAGATAAGAAGGGCAGATCTTGTTAAAAAGCGTATTTGGTCAGAATAGTTTTGATGTAATAACTTTTTTGCTGTAAATTAGAAATCCTACACATGAAAGCTCAAACAAGTAGGCTGACATTTTACAAAGGCTACTGTAAATATCAGAAGATGCAATAAAAATGCAGATAGCAAAGATCTCGAATGATTATCATAACCAACACAAGGAATTCAGAAAATTAACTCTTCAGTTTGGCTGATCTGCTAAGCTCCCCAAAATGAGAGTCTTAGGAAGGAAAATAATTTAATTATTCCATTTCGCTAGTAAATAATGGGCATTTACTTACTTTCTGTTCCTTTTTCTGGCTCGGTTGTAAGCTTCTAGACCTTCTGTTAGTGTCTTCAACTTCTCTGGCTCCACCTGAGTGAAGGTATGAACACCAAACCACATTACCCAGACCTGCAATTATTAAACACTGCTTTTACTTTACTGCTAGACATGCATTATTATGGAGCCTAATTTTCACTGCATCCATAAGACACTAACCTTCCCAGCAAAGAATAAATTAATGTACGGCTATATACATCCCCTCACACATATATGTATATATTATAATTGCTCTAGATGTCCACACCACTAGCAATAGAAATACAAAAAAACAAAACCACGACACTTAAGACAACAAAACTAAGAAGGAAAATAATATTTGTAAAACCTTCTTTGTCTTTATATTATTAATATGAACACTGCTGTTAAAGTCTCATATTCTGTACTCACATTTTACAAATGTATTTTACACCTTTGAGACCACCTGGAACGCATTAAAATACCAAGTTGTCCAGTACACATGATACAATTTTTACAGATGCCGTCAACACAAAAGCGTTTCACATCACCTCAAATTTCTGGAGAAAGCATTTAAGGCCCCAGTTCAACAATGCTGCTAACGGCATGGCCAAATTCACTCCTATTTCAGAAGAGCCACAGTACGTGCTTAAGTTAAAAGGCTTAAGGCCTTAAAAGGGGGGCGGGCAGGGTCACAAGCTTTATTTATGCATTATGAACCTATGAATTGTAAATAGAGCTCGCTTTAGCCAGCTAATTTATTGGTCCTGAGAAAGGTCTTTTTAAATTTTTTTCCTTAAGCACATACTTCAGCGATCTGCCGGGTCAGGAATGAATTTGAGCACGTGCGCAACAGGGTTGCTGAACTGGTATTGAAAGTACTTTAACTGGAAATTTACGTTCTCTTGAACTCAACCAGAATTATAACCTTTTAAGCAATCTGTGTCTAAACCGCTGCATATAATCACTGGCACCACTGGGTAGGTACCAGTTAGTGATAGCATAAACAATACAAAAATGAAAGAAAATTATTTATATCATCTGTATGATTTATCATTTGCATTCTCAAAACATTAGTCCAATTAACTCCCGTATTATTTTGATTTGGCTCAGTCATTTCTGCTTGTAAAAAACAAAAAAGGTATTTAAACACATCAATTTAAAGAAAATGAAAGGATAAATTCCTTTTTCTTTGTCAGTATTGCCACATTTTGCTTGACTTATTTTTTAATCTTTGCATAACTTAACAGGAACCTTACATAGCATTTGTTTGATTAAAAAGTACAGCTTGTATTCTGACACAAGGAAAACTAATTCTATAAATACAAATCTATTAAGCATGCCTATATACAATCTGAAAAATAAATTTAAATCTAAATTCCCTCTAAACCCAGCCTTTCAATTACTAAATAATTTATTTTCACAATGAAACTGAATTTTAGACGTGAAAATGTGAAGTTAATGCGTGAGCAAGTTGTCAAAATCTCTAGAAATAAGGCCCAATTTAATATATGTTTAGACCAAATTTCACATCTTGAACTTACGCATCTGATAATGAAATTGGGGAATACTGCCGTTTCAGGAACTTACTGGCAAGAGTTATTATTGGTGAAATCTGCACATGGGGAGGCAAGATTTCTGTCTTCATGAAATAGATTCAATCATGCCACAGATTGTGGCATTTTTCCCTTAAAATTGTGCTTACTTTTAACGTAAGACTGCAAATACTTCAAATAATTCCTCTCCTAATCAGACTTTGGAAAACTACAAATGCATACATAAGAAATACTCTCTATTTAAAACCTGTGGGGCTTTTCTAAGGATAAACATGAGAAGAAAAGGCACGCAACACTGGCAGAATGAGCAAACCGGCTTCAGAAGCTTATACGTTACATCTCCTCCCATCGAAACGGTACTATCGGAGGCAATGCTACTCTCTCTGCAATGCACTACAGCTCAAGCCTTCATTTTGTAGAATGCTTGAAAAACAGCTGAAGAAGAAACTTCTGTTTTTCAAACTGAGCAGAATTAAAGGGCAATAACATAATCATCTTGATCCTTTACCTTGGACACTTCACTACGTGACAGAGTTGTCATGAATGCTAAATTGTGCATTATCCATATCCATGATATACATGTATATACAAGGAACAAACTCTGCAAAGGGTTGCGTATGTCTGCCATTAGATATATAAGAAAGTTCAATGGTAAATATTTTTATGAAGAGCTAATATCACGTTTGGGTCACAAGGGACTTAAGTAATGAAAAGAAATCAATAGCTTCATTATTGGAAGTTTGTGATGGTAGAACAGTAAAAAACCTGCTAGCACTTTTTTGAAGAAGTAGTATCAAATTGCTACCATAACATGGTATTGGAAGCAACTATAACAGATATATTTGAATTAATAATATCATATGCCTTCATTTACAATAAGCCATTACAACACTAAATAATACATACAAATGGGATTTTCAGGACACTGATAAATCACACCTATTATTATCTGTAGAACTATAAAAGCTCCGTTTAAAAAACCTAGTTTAACTGATGGAAAGTCCTATTGAGAACAATACTCGCCCCGTAAAAACACTATGAAATGCACTAACAACAGGCAACCACTGCTCACACAAACCCTTTGACTTTCACATTGTTGCTCTCAAAGCCTTGTTCCTGTTGAGGTGATTTGATTTGGATAATAATCAAACTAATTACTTAATGAAATACACATCCTCCGTTTTAGGATGCATGTAGCTTCAGGCTCGCTTCTTTCCTTTTCAGAAATTTCTGCCGCTACTGCTGCACTTCCCTTGGGTTCCTCTTTAATTTTCCAATAGCCAAAAAGCAAGCGTTCATTAGAAAACAAAGGTGCAATATTCCTCCCTTCTCCTGTTCGGGAAACACCATTCTAGCAGCTCTTCAAACAGAAGCATTATTACATTTAATACCCAAAGTCTTTTAAATGGAAACAAAAATCAAATTATGTATGATATAAAGAACAGAGAATATACAAAATACCATGAAATCCCAACAGCACAGCAAAACTAATGTTACAATATACAGGAGGTTAACATTTGATTACACAAATACTTTAAAAGATGTTTTAAGAAAGCTCTGCAGAAAATACAATTTTTGGAACAGCTGCTAGTGACTCTCGCCATGAATTGTAACCTTTCAGGACTTTCTGAAGACCATTTGATTTTCAAGGTTATTTCTTTTTGGTTTTCAAGGGTTTTTTCTTTTTTGGTTTGGTGTGGGGTTTTATTTGTTTGGGGTTTTTTTTTTTTTCCTTTCCTTCAGACCAGGCTGCCCAAACAACTGAAGAATGTAGCTGTACAACATGTTACAGGAGTGTTTGAACATGTGTTCAAAAAAAATTTCACCTCTTTACAAAAGTTATAAAAAATAAGCTCTTCAAATATATCAAACCAGTCATATAGATACGGATACACATTTTTGTGAAGTTAATACATAAATACATACTCAGAACATATGTGCAGTGTAATTCCTGTATTCGTAATTCATATGGGACAGTGGTATTGTACACCTAATTTTTCCAGTTTTGCTTAATCTTTTAGTTTGCCGTCTGTCTCATTTGCCTATACTTTATAAACTGACTTGTAACTTGGGGATCTAACCTTTATAAGGAATGAGCTCTTAAGCATTCAAATAATTGTTACGAAAGCACGTTGATTTCTCTATAAAGTAAATACTTTCGTTCAGCATACTCGGACGGGAGCCCTTTGAAACCTCTGTGGCTAAGGAGATCAACAGAGAAGGCACCTGTAAAGAGAGACTGAAGTTCTCTTGAGCTAGGGTTGAAACCATTCTGGCCAAACATCGCCCCAGTTATTTATAGCACCAATTCATCAAAGACCTTTTGGACTGTTTGGGGAAATTACATTTGCACATCAACCTCAGATAACTCTACGATTACCAACTGCAGTAAGACCAGCAGTGGTTACACCACAGATACACCAGTTTTAGCTCACGAAGTTCCTGAGCTATGCACTGGTGGGAGTCAGAGGTTGTTGGTGAAGAAGCATTCCTCAACATGTTCTCCTACTCTCTCTCCTCCCGATATCTGCTGCTGGCCAAATTTTGGGGAAAGGAATACTTTGGTCCAACCCACTATCACCGTTCTTACGTCCTTATGACTGTTGTTGTGCAATGTACTAGGCAGGTATATAGGGAAAAAAAGACATAATTTTTAAGTGGTTTGATTTCTTTGTGTCAGAGGTAAAATGTTATTTCATTAGATCTTTCCTTTCTGCTCACATATTTTTAAAATTTGCGTTTTATAAAATGGCACTTAAAAATATTTATATACGGAAGATGTGAAATATTTTACAAGAACTACAAAAATATAATGTTATACAAGTAGTGGAGACCAGAATTTGAAATATTTATCATAATAAAATAACGAATAACTCCTTGATAACTGTATTTTCTGTATATTCCCCAACAACCATATGATTTGTCGACAAAAAAAAAAGGATTTTAGTATGAAAGAGCAAATTGGAATGCTTTCCTCGCTATTAAAAGATGGTCAAAACCTCCTTTCAAGGTGAAAATGCGCATGCATTTCCTCTTAAAGAGTGTATGTGTGAATCAGCAAGCTTTTACTTATTACAGACTCCTCAATCGGCTAAGATCAGTTTTCCTTTTTGCAGTTTTCAACACTTTTAGATATCTCCATATCGGTTTCTTTGGACACAGCCAGAAGTTCAACTAAATACACAATGTAAGTTAAACAATTTTTTGTTAACAACGTTTTTTATGTAGCAAGTCTTTTGTGCACAAATTAGTTAGTAAAGCATAATCAGGCCAAAATGTAATCTGTTTCATGGCATTGGTAGAAGTTTCTCCTTAGATAACTATGGGAAAAATTCAGTTCTGCAAGCTATAGTTCTGAAAAAAAGCAATTTGTACTACTAAAGTAAAAGACAAAGAGGAAAATAAAGAATGGACCGAGATAGTTTTGATAAACATTTGTATGGGCATAGGTACATGTGTAGATAGATAGATATGTGCATATATATATAAATATACCTTCCCCTCCTCAGCGTTTTGTTGACATGAATTGTGAACTTCTTCTTCTCTTACTAGTTTCCCAGGCCATGAAGTCAGTCCTTTGATTTGGCCCCAGACCAAGTCGCCAACATTAAACGTCCTCGGCCTGTAATGTATCAGCTCATTTGAAGAAGGGGAGTCTGGGTTCCTTAGGTCATCTTCACTACTGATGCTTTTAGCATCTGAAGGGCTAGGCACACACCCATTAATGCTTTTGGCATTAAAATCTCCATTGTAATGGATATAGTCTTTAACTAACGAACTTTCCAAGCTATTTGAGGAACTTGGAGATTGCTCTTCCAGAATCAGGTCTTGTTTAGAAGTGTTCAGCAACTCCCCAAATCCTCTGTTCTGCTGAGGCCTATTTCCGTTTATGTGTGCACATCGTTCCACAGTGTTCTCCAGTCTTTCCTTAAAACTCATCATAGTTCTTTTGTAATTGTTATACCTGAAATTCTCCTCCAACATTTTATCACTTTGACAGTTTCGCTGTGATAACAGTATCTGATGCTGCTCGCCTTGTAATAATGGCAGTGTGGAGATGTTATTGGGCCTTTCGTGACAAGGACTACTATGGATATGGGTAGAGTGGTCTAGAAACTCATCACATTTCCATCTATTTATCTCACTGACAGGACTTTGCTCCCCTTCCCACTGTTTTTTGGGTGTGTTACAACTTGTTGATTTGTAATATTCATACCCATCCCCTTCACTTGAATTTTTACTGTGCTCTGAATTCTTCAATATTCGTGTTCCTCTAGTGTTCCTTATCCTACCTTCATGATCAGAAACGGCAATGTTTCTTCCATGGATTACTGCACTGACAGCACTAGAAAGATTTAATGGGTCACCAATTGAGGCTGTGAAGGCACTCATGGCACTCAAAGCTGGAATGGGACTCATCTGTGTTGTACTGCTAACGGCAGTGGTGATTACTACTTGCATTCCTTTGCTTGCAGCATCTACAACTGCTTTGTAGATAGCGTCCACCGATGTATCACCCTGAGCAGCGACATTGAGGTTATCCTTTGCCTGTTGTCCAAGAGGTGGTTCAGTTCTTTGCTGCAAATCACAAGATGTTTCTTGGAAAGGAGGAAGCATAGTGCTGGAGCTCTCAGGAACTGGCGCCATTCCCATTTGAGTGATCATTCTTTTGTTTAGGACAGCAGCATCTTCCTGCATTCTCACCTGGAAAAGGTAGAGAAAAAGATGGAAATTGCTATTCTGCCTAAAGTTCCATTTCAATAGACAAACTTTGTCTCATTTTAATACAAAAATCAGGATGGTGGCCAGGGTGACTATTTGTTACAGTACATAATTTTAGTTTGGTTACACATCAGTTACAAGGTTTAATGCTGAACAAGCTAGACAGAAATCAAAAAAAGCATAATTTGGAGGAAAACAAACCACTGGCTCTTAGACTTTCCCTCGTGGATCAAAACAGACGCCTTGCATGAAATTATACAACCCACCATGCACTGCTGAGACTACATTATCATCTCTTCCAAAGTCTTTTCAGGGATTTCCTCTTCTGATTGAAGTGCAGCACCCTCCTTTTTTCTCTCAAGTCCTAAACAACTCCACCAAGTTCAGCGGAACAGAAATATGGAACAGAAATCTGTTCTCAACTATTCTCTTTCATTCCTTCCCAGACCCTAATTTTGCTTCTTTCCTCCCTACCAACTGTTCTTCTGGGCTCCTTGTATGCTCCTCATTCAATTTCTGGAACGCAGGCCACCACTGTCCTTTTGGAATTGGCTAACATGTCTATTTTTTCCCTTTCGGTTATGTGCTTCTCTCGTGGGATCTCTTTTTACTTCAGTCCCTTGTAAACCATGCCTGCATCCCTTTGCATTGCAGCTGTAATGTCAGGCGCTGCCACAGTAAACTGTAACCTTCAGATTAAAGTAACTGGGCTTTTTGTGTTTCTTGTCACATACGTAGGCAGTGAAGACGATGTCAGTAATAGTGCTGTTACAAAAAACTGTAAAAAACAAGGGTGAAATATTTCCAAAAGCTCCTTTAAATACTTACCATTACTATTTATATAACTGAGAATCTGAAGCAAAAAATACTGAGATAAAGCTACCAAAATTCATACAAAAACAAAGAGAGGCAATAGGCAGCTAGAGGACTGTGACTTTGCAATAGCAGTGAAACATCTACACAGAGAAAATGACACGTCTTCTTTTTCCTTCTTAAAAGGGTAAAAGCACTTTCTGGCACTATCTGCATGCTTCTGTCTTCACGTCTTGAGTTCTGCAGCAACCATGGCAATACTGAATAATAAATACGTATTTTAACTCTGGTTTTATTACCTATTTTGGTTGCTATGCTTCCTGTCAGTATGTTAGTTTGATAGTTCAACTTGCATTATGAAGAATTGTCTATTTAGGTGGAGAGCAGGGAGTTATCATTTTTGCAGTTTGTCATTGTAACGTTCATTCTAATGCCCGTTTTCTTCAGCTATACAATCCACAGCACAGCTAGCTCTTCCATTCAATTTCAGTGGGAATGTAAGAGGACTGGTACACATGGTCACCTATAATCATTTACTAAGTTTCTAATTACTGCAAAGTGGTATCAATATTTATGTCTCACCACTGAATTGTTAGCGTGGTCTAAATGGGAATTTATGATCATTTCTGCGGAATGGAAAATAGTTTTGCTAAAAACATATAGTAATTGTCAGAACATACACAGCACATTTTTTTCAATACATGCAGCATAACTCTTTCCAAAGAAACTATACCCAATTTCTAAGGAAGAAAGTATACAATTTCAGGAAGAAATGTTACTGATTTGCAAAATCCAAGAACTACTGAAAGAGGCAAGCAATTGTATATACCATATTGTCTTAATCACTCAGCAAAAAAAAAATCAAACTATGGAGGATGTAATTTTACCTACTGAGAGCTGCACATTTGTTTGAATATTGATTTCATTTTGCTTTCTACCTGGAAATTCTGGAACAGACACGCCATGGGGTTTGGGTTGTTAGCTGGGCCAGGAATTGGGGGCTGGCCTTGAAAGCCCTGCATGTTCTGATACCCCTGGAGAAGGTGCTGTTGCTGCTGATTTGAAGGAAACATCTGATTGTTGTTTAATAGCGACTGGAGATGACTCAGCTGATGGTTATTCAAAGTAGTGTTTATAGATGACATGTCACCTGTAATTCAAACACAGGGAAACATAAGTCAGTATAGTTTTCAACAGTCAGGAGGAATTTCCTTGACTCAAATTTTAACTGACTGCTAAGCAAATGCCTCTGTAAAACAACACTTTTCCCTTTCAATCGTCTATGGAATGGTCCTCAAGGCATGTGTCTCCTACTCTTTTTTCCTTTATTTCTTCAGTATTCCTTCTTTTGCATGTCACATCTATGTGGACTCTTTCTAAAGGTTTCTGACATGACTGTCTTTGCCTTTGGAACGGTACACAGCCAAGTATGGCAGAATGAGCTTCTATCATATTCAGCATCTTGGAATCTTACTCTTAGTTTCCAAAGAGTGACTGCTTCAAACAGTACTGGGGTGGTGAGGGGGAGGAGGAGGAGAGAGAGAGAGAAAGAGAAAATAATTTAAAAACCCCAACAAAACTAGCTTTTCATTAACTATGACAAAATAACATGAGCTAACTGCAAATGAGCAAAGGCTTTTTGGCTCACAGACATGTCAGCCAACACTCTGAACAACTTTTTTTTTTACACTCTAGAGAAACAACTGTATTTACATTTTGTTTTACATGAAAATCTCACTGTACATGAAAATTATAGTTCTAGTAAAATAAATACGCTGTTGAACCTGACTTTATGAAAAGCTTAAAAATGTATCAATTTCCTAGGGTGTTTTCTTGTTTTGTTTTTTTTAATTAAAAGCTCATGTTTTTCTTAAAATTGCCATTTGCAGCATCATTGGTTAGTTGTATTTTACATGGAAAAGGTAAAGTAGGGTTGAGTTCACGATAGCCATTTAGTAGGTAAGTACGAGGTATGAAGTTAAAATACTTATCAGTTCTTTGCCACTATTTAATTCCTCCTACTAGTCTATTCATTAGATTACATAGACCAAACAACAGAGGAGTACTAACTATATAACATATTCTTGCTAAAAATCATCAAAAGACTCAGGAGAAAAAATTTGTATTTAAAGGCTTTTTAATCACTTGTTCTGGGATGTAGGTGTTTGTCAAGTGAGATACCCTGGGTTTCTAAACTACAAGCTAAAGTAAAAAAAAAAAAAAAAAAAAATCAGAGAAATGAGAAAATATAAATACACAATAAAAGGCTCGAAGGGCAACCTTCCTCTTTGAACTTGTGCAAGGACCTACTTCGAGTGCTTTATGGATTACTTTACGGGGAGTGTGCTTACGGTTTTGGCGCTTTTGATTCATTTGGAAAAATGCACTTGGCCATTTTTCATCTACTGCGCAGCTACTCGTACTAACCCTGTGATGCCACATGCACTTGAAATGAAACGCTGCATCCCAGAGATACACCTGTGCTTTTACTCCTTGAAAAATGAAACCACTCCAATCGCTTACAGAATTTTAAGGTAGGTAGGTCTAGGTGGCATCAGAATTAAGAATGGAATAGAAAATAATTTCCAAAACCAGTATTAAATGTTACTGAATTAAATGAGAATGTATTTTAAATTTCTTACAATAACAGTTATGTTTTTCTCAATAGAAATAAACAAGCTGTAACATACAAAAGCCTTACAAAAAAAAGTACGATAAAGTGGAGTCTTTAAAAATAGAAACTAGAATCCGAAATTCCCCCTCCCCAACCCTCTTCCTTTTTTTTTTTCCTTTTATATCTGTGAAGAAATTGAACTTACCAAGCAGACCTGTCCCCAGTAGAGGGTTAAGTAGCTGTGGCACCACAGAGTTATTGTTGAGTTTAGCTGGACCAGATGTATTCCCAGCATTATTAGATATGTTCAGCAATGTTTCTGCCATTGACACCACTGCTGTCCCACCACCCAGGGTTGAGACAGACAGTGCTGCCACTGCTGATGATGTAGTGGTTGTGGTAGTGGTTGCCTGGGAGGAGGTGGCTATGGAAACCTCTGGATGATTAGCGGTGTTGCCCGATGCAGAGTTCAGGACACCTCCCACCAGCTGGGGATTCAAGGCCATTAATGCTGAGGCCCCTGAGACAGCTGGGAGGAGCAGGGGGTTAGAAGTAGTGTCAGTGCCTGAAAAGCTTGGTATAGGGTTGCCCATGGGGTTGGTTAAAAGGGTCTCCACCCTGTTGCTTTCTGACTGAGTGCTTGGCAAATGGTCAGGTGGGGCTGTCATCTGTGTTACTGAGGGTAAAGGGTTATTTTGCTGTTGCAACAAATCTGAGATGGTCAGATTGAAAGATGGTAGGGGAAGCATGGCAGCTGCTTGGGCTTGGTTCTGAAGGAGGGTTGCTAGAAGCTGAAAATGAACAGGTTGTAATACCTGCCCATCCACGTCACTGGAGAGAAAAGCTAAAGCAGCATTTACATTCGGGTTGAGAAAACCTAAAGGGTTGAGGTTGACCTCAGACTTGCCTTCTCTTGCTGAAGGCTGTAGTATATTTAATAGATTCTGGTTTAGGAGATGTTGCTGATTCACTGGCAAAGAGATAGGTAGAGAATTGAGGAGGTTTTGATTCAAAGAATGTGGAAGATTGTTGTTTGAAGAGCTGTTCTGCGGAAAATGAAGCGAGTGTTCGTGGCCAGCAAAAGGGAAATCGCTCCCAATGGGCAGCTGGCTCTGAAGTGGGTTTCCAGCTGCAGTAGTGACTATAACACCATCTTGAAGCACAGATGTTGTTTTTGTGATGGCAGGTTGGCTGGTGCCAGCTATGGCTATTGATGATGATGGTCCTGAACCCCCTGCAATGCAAAAGAACAAAACTATTAATAGAATACTGCCTGTTGGGAGACAATCATCGAAGTTATAAAGTAACTAGGTTAATCCAAAACAGTAATGTTTGATATCCATGCACAGGAAAGAAAAATGTTTTGAACATCCAGACTTGAGTACTTTTTAAATATGAATGAATCTGCCATCAGCTACTTCAGACATTATGTGCTGTGCCACATCTCATCAGAAATTATTTAACTATACACGTGTATTCCCTTTAAATTTCTTTGAGTGGGGACATGAGGATTTAATTCATTACATATTTTGATTAGCATAAACCTAAAAGCAACCATAACTTAATATAGTTAGCCGTGGACCAGTATGAAATGAACTACTAAGAAGAAGGATCAATGGGAGACATGAATGATGTGTGAACGAGTGTGAGTACATGATCTAAATGTAGATGTGAACCTTACGCTCTTCTATTTCCAGCTCTATCCCATTAATGGGGTTTTGGAGAATTATTATTTCAAGCATTATTTTGGACTCATGAAGAAAAAATACAACGATGATGATTACATGTCATGATGATGCCTATGATAAAATTTAATGAGCAAAATACAGTGCGGTCAAGGTAGGTTAGCAGACAAACCCCCCCAGCAATTTATAAAGAAAAAAAAGTAAATTGGGGTGGTCTAGTCATATCCATCACTTGGCATGAAAAGAAAGACCAGCTGGGTAGATTTACTGTGAGGGGGTTACATGGAAGGAGTGAGAGAATAATAAAGTTTATTTGGCTATCTTTATACCCCTTTACCAAAGTTGAACTATAAAATAAATTATTCATTGTCTTTCACTTAAGGCAGAGTCTTGAATTGACAGTGGTCATACACAAAAAACATATGAGAGGAGACTAGGAGAATTAAAGCAAGTGAAGTTGCCTTGAACTACGCCTTTCTACTTTATTCATTGCGATTCACTGGAGAACAGACATTAAAAATATGTATTAGAATTATATACTGCATGTATATAGAACTGTATAAGTGTATTTAACTATGCTTTTGATGCAATAAAATCGTTTTCCATTCTCAACTGCCCTGCAAATCTAGCTCACATGACAGAGATCAGAATGTATCGATTATCAGAAAGCATCAATTATCATTTTTCTAAACAAATACTATTTGAAAAGGGATGTGCAACTATGCTGTTAAGTGGTAAGAACAGAATCAAATCTTTAATTTAAAAATCAAATCTGGTAACTTAAAATACCATTCTTCATCACTGTAACATGATGACAACTCAAAAAGGTACAAAATTAACACAGTGCATGAGGCACTGTATTGAATTCATGAGAAGAAAGATCACACCCTCTTCTCCCAGGTAGCATTATCACATTTCAGTACAGATATTAAATAATAAATTAGCAAAAGATAAAGTAAGAACAAATTGTAATCATGAAGCAGAGGATATCCTATTCTGCTGTGATTAGAAATACGTTAACAAAGCAATAAAAGCAGTTTCATGACAAATACATTTCTCTAGGCAGCAGTTTGGAACAAAAAACCAGATATGCACTTGAGGAACAAAAACCCAACCATGCACTGAAAATATATGTCCCATTGGATTTCCACTTACGGTTTTGTGTTTAACATTTTAGATCAGGCAGGAATAGCAAATGCTCTGTATCTTGACACCCCCAGGCCTGGCAAATGCCTCATATATACGTGAGAAACTGGCACCCATGCCCGCCCTGGCTTTCTAGCTCAGAAATACAGATTTCCAGATTACAGACACCTTCCCAATAGAAGTCAATGAAAAGCTGCTTATCGGACAAGTTGCTCAGAAATTATTCAAAACTAAGATGAAGCCAGTAACAGCAAACCTATTGGTAGAGATGAATGAAAACCACAGCTACAGCAAGTAAGTTTGTTTTCTGCCAACGCATCTGTCCTACTGCTGGTTACCTAATTCTGGAGGGAAGCCACCTCTGGCAATGCCTCCAAAATGGAACATAACAGAAAAAAGAAAGAGTCTCTCAAGCACGTGTTTACACATCAAGGCGTACATGACCTACCGAGACGACATGTTAAAAAGATTTTTCATGTGTGTGCACTTTTTTTTCCTCGTAGTATTTTGCTATTTTTGTAAATAAGCCAATAGTAAAACACAGTTCATACAGATGAGCGGCATAACATAAAATTAAATTAAATGTGTATGTTTACTATTTAACACACAACCGTAAACTCCGGCTACTCAAATTCAATTACACAAATCCCAGAGAACCTAAACTAAAATATAACTGTGCATCCTCCTGTTTTTACTAATCTCTGAAATATTTTAAACTTCATTTTTGGAAAAGTAACAGAAAAATCTTTACAATCTTCGTGGCTAAAAGCAAATTCTTTTTGTTTCACCGGAGAAAACACACCCACTTATAACAGTTTCAAACACTCACACCAGGCTTGTAATGGATCAGTACGTTACAGAGCCAACAGCGATACACATTATTAACTATCAGGTACCTGTTTGCTCACAAAAAAGGAAATTTCCAAATTTTTTTGTTGTTTTGTTTAAATCAGTATCCAGAACTGACACTCCAAGGATTTAAATATTAGGAAAAGTCCCAAAGGCCAAACCACAGATTTAAGAAATACTATTACAAAGTCATTCCTACATGTTTTTAACGGAAGAATCAGCTGTGCCACTCAAATGACACAAGACGGATGCCTACCGTACTTAAAAATACATAAGGCCTCTTAGATAATGTTGGTTGAAAAATTGCTCATTGAAGCAAAACTCTGTCACTGCACTTCGAGACACACTTAACGTTAGCCTCTCTGGTTGTAATCTAGTTTAAGATGGACCAGGTAATACCCGAACATCTTCAGATGGCTATTCCTCCCACTTGTAAATGACCTTCCACACAAAATCTTACTGTCATATAGATAAAAGCAGGCTACCATCAGCTTAGCCTGACCTGCAGGAATAGTCTGATATACTGGGTTCGTTTCAGGCAATATTTTTTTGGTAACTCTTTGCTCCTGCAATAAGGGAAAGGCAGATATACAAGCTTTTTCCTCGGTAGCTAAGAAAGGCGTCCCTCGCTAGTAGAAATCACATTCAATGTGTTAAGCAGCACACGGATAGATTTTTAATTCAGACACGAGGCAACTATTCTATACATAGAGCTCTCATGAATATGAAACCTAATTTTGGTATTTTCAAGTGGACTAATGTCTGTTTCTCATTTATTTATGATCCTATTTTCCATTCCACTCAGGTAAATGACCACACGGAATAGTATCTGGTGTGAAGTAAATCTCAAACTTGTAAAATTGTTGCTAGGTTTTTGTCAAACACTGCTCTGATTTCTATCCCCCGTCAAACACCGCTTCTGGAGATCTAACCTGAGAGGTCTAGAGCGCATTCAACACTTCCCTTTCTCCAGATTAACTAGGCAATTAATTAATTGGTACTGGGGGAAAAAAAAAATCTTGATGGATTCTGAGTAGGAGGAAGAAAATGTGTCCTTATTTCAATCCAGACTTGAGAAGTCTGGGAGCTGAGGAGGCGATGAGCAGCCAGACT